TTCACCAGACTCAGGCCATGAATTATGGCTTCCCATAATTACTGCATATGGTCTTCTACACTCATTTCTACTTCCTCTTCCTTCAAGCTATTAATAGTTTCACTTAATGATTTTATAATAAGGAAAGAGATTTTAAAAAGAGTTTTTTGATTAAAAAAGGAGTACAACTCAGGATTTCCTTTCTTGCACATTAAATGTAGCTGATTTATGTTTAAAAATTCTAAAATGAGGAAAGAATTGCATATGCTATTTCGATTTGAAGCTTGAACTCAGATTATATCACCATATAAATCTCTTAATAATAGCTGTGCTCTCCTCTTTCGAAATTCAGAATGTCTTTGTATTAGAGAATTGAAATTTATGGCCTTATCATGACAACAGAGATACAAATCTATTTTTAACCCCTGGGAAAGATGTCACATTATTTTATACTTTTATACTGTCCTTTCTCTGCATTTCCCAAAGAATTCTGCAAGAAACCTGGGTGGAAGTGACCTTTGCTATTGTGTCAAAACATCTGTTTCATTGCTTGTTCAAAGATTTTTCCAAGGGCCTGGGCATGTTTGCAGTCAGAGCTCCAACAGAGAGCCAAACAAGGCTGGCTTGAAGAAGGAAAGTCTCTTTCGTGAAAAAGAAAGTTTGCTTCCATCATTTAACACTGCTCAGACAACATTTTAATCAAGCTGTGAAAAAACAGAAGCAAGTGTGGGAAGAGAAGAATGGCTTTTGCAGGGTGCCTAGAAAAAAAGTTTTCCCAAATTCTAAGTTTCTCAAAGAATTTCTGCCAGCGGTTTATTTCCTTCCTTGTGCATTTACTTTTTACGAGAAGGCAGTTCAACTTGTAGCCTCTACCCATTATAACTGCAACGCTATGCCACATGGAGAGTCCCCTTTTAGACTTACAACATTTAACATTTTAATAATTTTCCACTGAATATCCAGAGGAAAAACGCACTGTAAAAATGAAGCCGTAGACCTGCCCGCAAAAGCTATACAGATGAGTTTACCCTAACACCAACATTTCTTATTCAGATTTCCAGAAAGCCTGGTGATAGCAAGGTGTCGCAAAACAAAAACCAGCACAAGCTGCAGCTTAGCACACACTTCAGCTCACGCATACAAGTCCTACTTAACATTACGACAGTTTAAAAACGTTCTCTTCATATCAACTATCTAGACACCCTCTGACTAGTCATTCTCTTGCTAAGTACAAACTGGGTGGACTTTGCCTGTTTGGAAAACTACTGCACTGATGATTTTCTGTAATTTAAAACTCACTTTTAGATTAGGAAAATGTACGTAAATTTAGACCCAAACATTTTTTTGGTAAAGAAGCTATTGTTTACTACCAACACCTATTTCTATGAAATTATCTTTTCATTTTCTTATTCTTTGCCACTTCAATAAAAATTCCCATTTACTTCTTCATGCCGCTCTATCTGTTAAACCTGCCAGACTCAGTACACAAATTCCTCCCACAGCTCCTTAATTTCTTGCCAACTCCAAGCATCCCTGTCACCCGCAGCTACAAAGCAGTCACATTCCACGGGGGCAATGTTCCACTGGTGGCCGAGGCAAAAGGCAGACGCAGGTGCCATTTCTAGCAAAGTCAGAAATGGACAACTTGCAAACTCAGTGTGGAATTACACCATGCTTGAGTTTGGCTCACTTTGCATATCTAAAGATCACATTTTGAAAACAGTCTGAGGTCCCCTCAGCTGCAAGATGCTACCACACAGACCACGGAGAGCTTGTAATTACCTGTATCTGTGGCTTTAGGCTGTAGTAACTGGTGTGTATGTTGCTCCATACCACACCTTGGAGGTAAAAAAAGTTCGCAAGAGTGCTAAAGCAATTCATTAGATACTGCCAGGAAACCCTTGAGCTCACCATACCTTTCAGATTTACTTTCAATCCAAACCTGTATTCTATTGATCTTGCAGTTATCTTTCTATTTTTACTACAAATACAAAAGCCAAGGCTGGACTGAGACATGCACGGAGCAACTACAGGTACGGATCTTCTGTTACTGAATACTGTATATCCCGTAACAGCCAGCCTTTCCTGGCAGGTGTCCTGTTCTAAGCTAGGAAGTTTTAATTTCTTTACAGTATGCAAGCTGCTGGAAGCCAAATGAACACCTATGTTTTCCTAGTTATAAGGGCAGTGGGACCACAAGGCCAGGAGCTGCTGCCCTGCTGTACTGGAATGTACACAGTAAGGTGTCTCAAGTACAACATCATCAGTAAAGATACCTCTGATACCTTCCCATTCACACTTTATTTTACCTTGCATATCATTGCTGGCTTCAGACAATGGAGGGAATAAAAGCAGCAACAAAAAGAAGGGTCTTCAGTTATAGCTGTTATTAAAATGTTGCCTACCCAAGAATCAAACAACCTAACCCCTTGTCAGACTAAAATGTTCTTACCCCTAACTAGTACTGTCAGAAATTTTCAAGATAGGCTGAGAAGTTAGGCACTTGCCCTGGCAGCAACAGCCATTACCCCACTGGTAGCTCTCTCTTCCAGGAGCATTCTTGGACAGCAAGGCTGGGCTTTCACAAAATTTTTTGGCGAATGGAGTTGCTAAAAACTGAAGTTTAAATGTGCATTAAGGGAACTTTTCCATGCGTAAAAAGCCAGGAAGGGAGAAAAGAGTAAATTGAAAAATGTTTTTGCTCTTTTCAGATGTATAATCAACTCCCAGAGCAGTAACAAGAGAAGCTGAACGTCCTTTATGATCTAGTGTCAGTTCATTGCATTTCAAAACCACTGCAGACAGATACTGACCTGTAGGAAAGTGCCCACCAAAAAATACATTGAATATTTCTTCTGGTGTAATGTCTGCTTCAAATTCCGTGTAGTAATTATAGTGCCTGGCCTGGCCAGTGCTGACATGCTCTTGGTCACTTCCGAATTCATCGTATCGTAATCGTTTCTCAGGGTTGCTCAGAACTGCAAAAGCATTGCCTATTGCTGGAGAGTGAATTAAAAGAAGTGTTACACAGCTGTATCACACAGTATTTCCACATCTCAGACTTTTGTAAGCAGAGTAGCAAAAAAGCCCAAATAGGCATAGAAAATTTGTGCTTTACCAAAGATTGAGTCCTTTTGAAAGAACTACCTTCATAAAAAATGTGTTACAATACTGGCATTACCTGTGATTTCCTGCTATCACTGATACCAGGAGAAAGACAAAAGCATTAAAGTATATGGAGAGAGTTAAAATATTCGTAAGCCTGAGGTGAGAGAGTCCACTTCAGTCAAGAGACTGCGTGAGAATATAACATTTTACCAGATCAAATTAAGCACTGATCCAGAAGTGCATCTCCATGTACCATATACAGTTAATACCAAGTTAATAACTGCAGAGACTAATTAAAATGCAGAACGATATTCCAAGTTTTTCTGTTGGCAGAGATGCTTGTGAAGCTGTACAGCATATCTATTTCACACTTTGCATCAAACCACCCAGAAGTATTTGTTTGGTTCACCTTCGTCCTTGATCTTTCACAGAACACAGCTGTAAACAAGTTCATAGAGAAATACAACCCTAACACAAAAAAATTTAAAAAAGCCCTTCTAAACCTCCTTACTCTAACAGACTACGAATTAATATCTCACTTCCCTCGCGCTGCCTTACAGTGCTGTTGCAGACAGCTGCAACACAGCATGGAAAAGGCAAAAGATGTAAGAGTTTAGATGCTAACATTGTTGTTACAGGTTTAGATTGCAACGTTACTGTAAAGTCTAGACAAAAAATTCATACGCTTGCATATATATATAGTGAAAAAAAAAATCTATTTATGACACAGAGCAGTATTTGATTACACAACACCACACTCTTCTGCATGGCCAGTATCATTTTCAAGCATTGTTCTGAACCTTTAGCAGTATCTAGGAATGAGATCTGGGATACGTTTCCCTTTGGTTCTAATGGAAATGTGTATTCTGAAGATTAAAAGGCAAATCTTGCCGACCAGCTGCGGGATTTTGTGGAGATGAGCATATTTGCCTAGAAAAACGACAAGCTATATGGGCCCGTACGGTGCCTTTATATAAGGCGCAGAACTGTAAGCCTGAGGCAGTCTGTGCTCGTTTTCAGCTTGCTTTACGACTTTCGAAAGGGGGCCAGCCCCCCGCCTCACCTTTAAAAGCCTCCGTTGCCCCGGGAGCGCGGTTCTTGTCAGGGTGAAATTTCAGGGCCAGTTTGCGGTAGGCTTTCTTCAGCTCCTCCTCGCTGGCGTCCCTCTCCACCCCCAGAATTTCATAGTAGTTCCGACACCTCTTTATTCTGGAAGCGCACACAA